GCGGCTCCAAACTACGGAAAATCGGAAAATCATTGCATTTTTTGGCACTTTACTTTTTGGCACTTTGTTTACTTTACCTTTCGTGTTGTTGCGCGTTGAGTTCACTTGATTTCTTTCTTAACATGTAACATCGCCGTTTTTCCTCCTTTATGTACTTCCTCAGTGTTGTCTCTTTCTTCTATGAAATGGCAGATAAATTTTGAACGGAGATACGGGACCCATCTCGACCATCTCGTGTTTAAGCTCGTCGTACCCACTGTATTGGTTGTTTCCGTCGATATGGTTATAGAGACAACGCAAGCAGGTTGTGTTCATTGCACCTCTGTATTCGCCGTTCATAATCCAACTGAATCTTGGTCAGGAAGGGTAAAGTCAACAAGATATTAACACCAGTACAAGTTGACGAAAAACAGACGAAAATAACGGAGATCAATTCACGGACAGTTTAAATGGAAAAAGAAAACGGCTACCGGCTAGACTTAAAGATAGAGAGCTTAAGCAAACCGCGCCGACAACGGCAACGGCAACGGCAACGGCAACGAGAACGTCACTAAACAAAAGGCTTAATGAGCAGAGCAATGGATGCACATGGGAATTATAAATCTTTGCGCATTTCTTTGCCGTCCTCTGCACAAAAACATCGTGAAATGACCAAGCTCTGTTTTGGAGAACGCGAACGACGACGGCTAATTAAAAAACATTCCCTTTGGGACCGCACATACCTATGAAGCCCATATGAGGGAGCACCCACCCCCCGGGATCGTTCCATACAAAGAGTCAAAGGTAGGAAAATGAGGTTTCCTAATGAGACAGAAAAAATGTGATTATTATCATTACTACAAAGCGGCAAGAAAAAGTCAGTAATTATATATCCTGTGCGGCGCTTGGTACAGAGTCGTGCGATTTCTATAAACCTTTTGGTAAACCTTCCCGTGTCAATCAAAATCATACATGCGCACTATCTGACTCAGGCCCTTTGCAAACTTTGCCATTGCAACCTAAATTATTAGCACTGGCCGTCTGCTATCTCGCATAAATTAGCATTGAATAGTTCTTGTGTCTCGAGTGCAAATGAACTAAAAGCGGAAACGACGATAGCGGCCGTTTGCAAGAGTGAGTTTGTTAAACTGTCTGCAATCGAAAGAAAACAAGGGAGTTTATAAACAGAATGGAAAGCTGATGAACCTAAATTCTCGAAGCAAAACTGTGACCTTTAATGGTATAGCTCACTACTAGCATTAAATAGTAAGATAGGGTATCCGGTATTCATTCTAAAATGGAGATTATTAAAACTTATAAACAGACGATAAGACAATTGTAAAGATGACGGAGTTGAAATCAGTAATTGTCTTAGTAATCCTGAAAGCTATTTCCGTCGTTTTTCTCAATAATACAAAAATGAAGATATTCCTTTTCAGATTCGTTCATGTCTAACGTAACATGCGGGGTGGGAAAATGAACAAGGATACCCCTCTTCACCTGTAACAACTTTACACAGTTAAAACAACCTTTTTATCAAGAATGTTCCTGAACCTTTTCTAGACAATGTCTTACGTCTTCTACAAAAATATTTGTAATATTCCTCGTTACATGTTTAATCTGACACGCTGATGGCTTAATCAATCTAATCGAATACCATTTATCAAAATTACGATTAACTGAATGAGCAAAAAGTGCTATTTCTCAAACGAAAGAGACTTGACATGCGAGACTATCAAATACCTGCACTGATGCAACTGAGAGTTATTTCTTACCCTTTTACCTGTCTTCAGCTTACAACTACTTCGTTTAGAGTAGCAAATCTTTAAAGGAATTGTTGCACGGTTCGGCGCATGAGCAAACTATGACGGGAGCATAAAGTACCTTTCTCGCTTTCTTACTGAACCACACGTAGTTCAGCAATCTCAGACTCCAGTCTGTGAGAGCAGAGTGACGAGGTCTAGATTTTCCGAAAGATATTAACGGATTTACACAGGAAAGGTCGAATAATTATTAGTTATTAACATTGAATTTATTACTCAGGCCGAAAGATTTATCTGGACAAATGCACGAGTTATTTCGTCACATCCGACTGGACCATAAATTATGTAATTGAGTGGAGCATAGAAGTCGGAATATACAAAACGAATTCTGACGAGAAATATCATCTCTATGATCCTGTATGATCCTCTATCGTCAAGCTTTCCTGACTGACCGCAACAATTTCCCTCAAGAGTCATCGTCATTTTTTCATAATAAAAACAATGGAATCAAATAGGCTAAGGTCATACCTTGCTCATGCGCCGAGCCGCGAAAGCATCTTTTTAATGAAGGCTTTGTGGACTGACTTCTGCACTTGCATCTTAACGTTTAACAATTTACATATTAATGGCGATTTTTACATTAACCAAGCTTTTTCCGTTGTTTTTCTCAATAATGCAAAGGTGAAGATATTCCTTTTCAGTTTCGTTCATATGTAACATATCATGTGGTACAACGCATAACGATAACCCTCTTTCAGATGGTAGCCACCTGTAAAAACTTTACCCAGTTAAAACAACCTTATTATCAACAGCGTTCCTAAAACTTTTCCAGACAATGTCTTACGACCTCTACAAAGTATTTGTAATATTCTTCGTTACATGTTTAATCTGACACGCAGATGGCTTAATCAATCAAATCAAATACCGTTTATAAAATTTATGGGATTAATTAAATGAGCAAAAAGTGCTATTTCTCAAACGAAATAGACTTGACATGCGAAACTATCAAATAACTACCATGATGCGAGGGAGAGTTATTCTTACCCTGTTACCTGTCTTCAGCTTACAACTACTTCGTTTAGAGTAGTAAATCTTTAAGGGAATTGTTGCACGGTTCGGCGCATGAACAAACTATGACGGGAGCATAAGTACCTTTCTCGCTTTCTTACTGAACCACATGTAGTTCAGCAATCTCAGACTCCAGTCGGTGAGAGCAGAATGACGAGGTTCAGATTTCAGGGAAGATATTAACGGATTTACACTGGAAATGTCGAGTTGGTTGTTAACACTGAATTTATTACTCGGGCCGAAAGATTTAATCTGGAAAAATGCACGAGTTATTCCGTCGCATTCGACTGGACCATAAACAATGAAATAGAGTGGACCATAGGGGTCGGAATAGAACAAATTCTGACGAGAAATATCACATCTATGGTCCTTTATCGTCAAGGTTTCCTGACTGACCGCAACAATTTCCCGCAAGAGTCATCGTCATTGTTTCATAATAAACCAATGGAATCAAATAAGCTAATGTTATACCTTGCTCATGCACCGCGCTGTGAAGGCTTTGCGGACTGACTTCTACACTGCAACTTAACGTTTAACAATTTACATATTAATGGCATTTTTTTACATTAGCCAATTTGTATTTACAACTTTGTGTCAAGACTGCCGCTCGTTTTGTTGCTGTCAGAAAATGCCTCATTGTAGTAAGCCTCGGTCTCATCCAGTTTCTCGAAATCAAAATAAGGAGTGTCCGTTGTCATCATTTGTTCCAGTTGTACAATCAGTTGTTCAAATGTTGGTCGTTCATCGGGCACCGCCTTCCAGCAGTCTAACATCATGCCGTATCTGATGGCAATTAACGTACATAAAATAAGTTAATAGGAATTTGCGGGGGCAAATCCCACGGAGAGGCTCTCCGTCCACTGTTACCAGATCGAATTGGAATTTAGAAGTGTTGGTTTTTGTGGAGGGAGGAAAACCAGAAAACCCGAAGCCCTCGGAGCAAGTATGAGAAGCAACAACAAACTCAACCCACTTACGACGCCGGATCCGGGATTCGAACCCGGGCTATACATTGGTGGGAGGCGGGCGGCCTAACCACTAGGCGATGCCTGCTCCCCTGAATAAGAAAGATTACGAAAATAAAACCCGCAGTTGTAAAACCCTCTTGGGTTTAGATGACCAGGCCGAAATCAGTGCATTTAAAATTGAATGAGAAAAAATATCGTCCCTGTTTGACTCATGAGATTTTCCTTTGAACAGATCTAATTAAACAGAAAAACCGGTCTAACATGTTCTGAAACTAAATGTAATCATCCCTTTACAGTGTACGTTCTAAATTGGATTATTCGAACTCAGGCAGACACCTTAATATCACGCATTTAAAATATGTTTGTTCTACAAGGTAATATTTATAAATTCCTGAGCAACTGCAAAATGACTTGTAGTCAAAGAAGGAGCAGTGATTTACTTACAGCTCATCGGAACAGCTTTTTGGTTTGGCCATACGATACCCAGTCTTAAGAAGCCTGTACAACTCTTTGTGGCTTATTCCTGGATATGGAATGCCTCCTGACAAGAAATAAGGGAGAAACCAAGTGTTTGGATTGTATTTGTTAGAAAGGTGACTTTCCTCAGCTGAATGCAGTATGAACTGAGCGCCGTTATACGATATTGCAGACAACGTAACTATAAGAGAGTTTGCACGCAACTGTTATGAACGTATTCAATGGGAAACAGAAATACAGTTCAGTGTCGTAGGCCTGGTCCGCGCTCTGCATGAAGGTATGTCTGGAAGTGTCTTCCATGAGAAAAGGCTGACTGAAGAGTTCCCCATTACATCGGGATTGAAGCAGGGCTGCGTCCTCGCCCCTGGACTCTTCTCCCTCTACCTAGCTGCTATTCCAACGCTAACACAGGCCAACGCCGACGACGACGACGATGTTGTTGTGGAGGTAAAGCGATTTCAATGAGTATTATAATTACGATGAGTTTTAGTGGTTCCTCTCTAGTGAGATTGGAATACTTGTCACACAATCCAACATAAAATAATAGTCATATAACACTGATGTACCCCTTAATACAATACACATTACTGCGGCCAATAAAAGTGAAAGTTTTTCTATTTACATGTAAAAAGAGATGGCTATTTCTAAGAAATTATCAATTCTCACCCATTGTGGTCAACTCCCAGAGAAGAACTCCAAAGGACCATCTGAATTAAAATAATGAAACAAAACATCAGAGAAATTTTGTTCACTCGCTTTCATTTACTCGGGTCTAAGTTCTATATCAGGGCTAGCATAAAGAGTCGCACAAACCTTCATTCAACATTGCAATTGTGTCATCTTGGCTCTAAAAACAACGAGATATTTTCCTCTCAACTATGCATTTATCTAAAAATTGAACTTAGGTTGGGGGGAGGTACGTTTTTAGGGAAAAAATTATGTATACTATGGCAATGCTTGCAATTTTTCTCACGTTTTTCATGTCATTGTGGGTGGCTGTACTCAATAGGCCAACAACTGAAGCAAATGCCTCAGTCGATCAGTCCTACTAAGATACAATCTCAGTAAACAAGGCGGGACGTAAAATAACTTACACATCACTCTTAGTAGTGTATATGCTGTTACGTAGTGCCTCAGGAGCTGTCCATTTGATTGGCAGTTTTTTTGTGTGTTTCATTTCATATACATTGCCCTGAGTGTCGCGTAGCAGACCAAAGTCGGCAATCTTCACCACTCTGTCCTCACCGAGAAGAATGTTTCGCGCTGCCAGATCACGGTGAACAAATCCTTTGCCAGCCAAGTAATCCTGTTAAAATAAAACATAACAACACAAATACCGGAAAAAAAGCGATTAAAACACAAAAACGTTTGTCCTGTAACAAACTGTAGCAGTCTGTTATTTCTTTTCAACAATTTGGAGTTAAACTTGAAAGGCACACTTCATCTTAGCTGCTAAACGCCTTCAATATAATATGTGATACAAGGGTGGCAAACTACTACTTTTCAGATAGGTTGCTAAGAACAACAGTTTTCAAACTCATTAATAATTCATCAAGTTAAAACAAAAAAAATCACAACTGTGAAGAAGGTCTGGATACCCGGTAGACTGCGAGCAGTCTCTCTTTTGCTCAGAAATCCGAGGGGAAGAACGCAAAACAAGTGAGCGTGCCAGCGTGACATGCGAGGGTCGAGCGGCGAACCGTGATCAGAGAGTAGCGGCTCGCGGCTTCCCATATCACGCTCGGACACTCCGACCCACCGCTCACTTGTGTTGCGTTCTTCTTTGCGTTCTTCCCCAAGGATTTTCGGGTAAAAGAGAGACTGCTCGCATCCTAGATACCCGGTCTTAATTAACATAGATTTTGACGATTTTACTTGTCCGTTTACTCCTTAGTTCTGGTTTCGATTGAAAAGATATATCAAACATTCGAGACAGTGTTTTATCGGCTATTCAAACACCTCGAATTTCGCCACAAATACTCCGCTGCGCGTCGTATTTTTAACTCTCTTCTCGGTGTTTGGATATCCCGATGAAACACTGTCTATCGTGTTTGATATATTACATACATCAAAGCCTATATTTTCAAAGACGTAATTTGTGACATCTCAACTAATTCTTGTAATCAGCAAATAAATAAGTCCAAAATGTACACGACGGTTATGCATCAGTCAATTCCAGCAGTGCCCATCCCCCCCGGGCAACCGCGGGGGATTTGCTTACGTTGTCAGTCCCGGGGGTGGGGCATCCGCAATTTTATCGCGGCCCGGGGGCTGGGCATTTGCGTGTCCCGGGGCGACCCCCGGGCATTCGACACGCGTGTGACAGTGCTATGGAAGAGTTCATCGGGAAAGACGAGGCATTTGTTGAACAATGGCTTGTCCGTCAGGGACTAAAGAAACTTGCAGATGTTTTTAAAGGTATGTTTTCTCAATTTTAGATATTTCTTCATTACTTGTA